CCCAATTCTGTCGTTGGTGGGGATCAGAATGCTCTTTGATTGTAGGTGAACTATAAATCCCAGTAAGTACAACTCCCAAATGTCACGGTTATTTTGGCACATCGAGTATTTGTGCCAAGTTTGGTCCAGATCCATCATTGTTTGAATCCACAGTGCTCTCTGGATGCAGGTGAACTACAACTCCCAAACTCAAGGTCAGTGCCCACCAAACCCTTCCAGTATTTTCTGTTGGTCATGGGCGTTCTGTGTGCCTCGTTTGGTTCAATTCCATCATTGGTGGAGTTCAGAATGCTCTTTGATTGTAGGTGAGCTATAAGTCCCAGCAACTACAACTCCCAAATGACAAAATCATAAATTTTTGAGTGATGGTCACTCCTTGTGTTGTGAGATGTTTTGTTGCCAAATTTGGTGTGATTTCGTTCATTGGTTCTTTTGTTTTTAAGGCACTCATTATGCACAGAGCATTTATATATATATAGGTAATCTATATAAATAAAAATGTAATGTTCGTCTGTGGGATTAACAGAACTCAAAAACCACTGGGGGAATTGACACCAAATTTGGACACAAGACACCTAACAACCCAATGTATGTCCTTCACTCACAAAAATTGCTTTTGTCATTTGGGAGTTGTAGTTCCTGGGATTTATAGTTCACCTACAATCAAAGAGCATTCTGAACCCCAGCAACGATGGAATTGAACCAAACTTGGCACAGAGTTCTCCCATGACCATCAGAAAATACTGGAAGGGTTTGGTGGACAGTGTCCTTTGGTTTTGGAGTTGTAGTTCACCTACATCCAGAGATCACTGTGGACACAAACAATGATGGATCTGGACCAAACTCTACTCAATATGAATACTCAATATGCCCAAATGTGAACACTGGTGGAGTTTGGAGAAAATAGAATCTTGACATTTGGGAGCTGTAGTTGCTGGGATTTATAGTTCACCTACAATCACAGAGCATTCTGAACCCCACCAACGATAGAATTGGGCCAAACCTTCCACACAGAACCCCCATGTGGGCCACAGCAACGTGTGACAGTGGACGTCTAGTAGAATATAATTTATAATATTATAATGTAATGCAATATAATAATAATATGATATTATAATTATATATTTATATTACATGTAATATTACTAATAATATTACAATGTAGTGGTATAGTGCAATGCTGATATTGTACTATCCTAATAATATTATATATTGTATGTAACCCTTCGGGGTGAGAAGGCCGGCATATAACTGTCGTAAATAAATAAATAAGGTGTTAGAAAGAACTTTCTGATGCTACGATCTGTTCATCTTCCCGGGAGTCTGGTTGAGTCTCCTTCTCTGGGAGTTCCTAAGTTGAGGCTGGATGGGCATCTGTCAAGAGGGCTTTGATTGTGTCTTCCTCCCCTGGGGTCTCTTCCATCTTTAGGAAATGTTTGTGAAACATTTGAGAAGCTTTTCCCCTAATACTGAAAAGATAAGGGCATGTAGAGGTGACTTTTGTACTTTATGGTTAGTGCTAAAATCTGGAATAAGCAGTGGAGTCTCTCCAAAACGAAAATAAGAGCAAAGGTGGGTAAAATGATGTTACAGTCTATGAGAAAAAGACGGAAATATAGGTTGCTGTGGATTGAAGCAGAAAGAGGCTGCAGTTTTCTTAGGGGCATACATGGGAAGAGTGAATAGTGAGAAAAGAACTGGGAAAGCAGGGAGATGCTGCAAATCAATAAGGGAGGAGTTCTGCAGAGCCACAAAGAGCATCGAAAGGCTGAGAAAAGGTAGAGTTAAAAATCCCTAAAGCATATAAACCCCTCCACGAATCTAAACCAAGGTGATAAACCTGATAATATGGGTAATGATTTGAATCAAGAGGAGGATTTCCCCTTCATTTCCCCTTCGTAATGCCACGACCCCTTAATACAGTTCCTCATGTTGTGGTGACCCCCAACCAAACATTATTTTCATTGTATTGTCGAAGGCTTTCATGGCTGGAATCACTGGGTTGTAGGTTTTCCGGCTATGTTCTAGAGGCATTCTCTCCTGACGTTTCGCCTGCATCTATGGCAGGCATCCTCAGAGGTAGTGAGGTCTGTTGGAAGTAGGAAAATGGGTTTATATATCTGTAGAATGACCAGGGTGGGACAAAGAACTCTTGTCTGCTGGAGCTAGGTGTGAATGTTTCAACTGACCACCTTGATTAGCATTTAATGGCTTGGAAGTGCCTGGGGGGAATATTAATATTGTGCTATAATAATATAATATATTGTATTTACTTTTTACTTGTAAGCCGCTCTGAGTCCCCTTCGGGGTGAGAAGGGCGGCATATAAATGTCGTAAATACATAATAAATAAATAAATTTACATTATGATTCATAACAGTAGCAAATTGTGAAGTAGCAATGAAAATAATGGGTTGTTGTAGGTTTTTCCGTGTTGAGAGTGATTTGATGTGCCTGATTGTTTACTCTCTGTTGTTTTGCTATTGTAATTTTTGAGTTTTTTAATACTGGTAGCTAGATTTTGTTCATCTTCATGTTGAAAGATTCTCCCCAGGCACTTCCAAGCCATTAAATGCTAATCAAGGTGGTCAGTTGAAACATTCACACCTAGCTCCAGCAGACAAAAGTCCTTTGTCCCACCCTGGTCATTCCACAGATATATAAACCCATTTTCCTACTTCCAACAGACCTCACTACCTCTGAGGATGCTTGCCATAGATGCAGGCGAAATGTCAGGAGAAAATGCCTCTAGAACATGGCCATATAGCCCGGAAAAACCTACAACAACCCATTATTTTCATTGCTACTTCACAACTGTAGTTTTGCTACTGTTCTGAATCATAATGTAAATTTATTTATTTATTATGTATTTACCACATTTATATGCCGCCCTTCTCACCCCGAAGGGGACTAGAGCGGCTTACAAGTAAAAAGTAAATACAATATATTATATTATTATTATAGCACAATATTAATATTATATATTATATTGTACTATAATATTATACTGTAATATTATTAGTAAAATTGCATTTAATATAAAATATATAATTATAATATCATATTATTAGAAGAATATTGTATTACATTATAATATTATCAATATTATATGTATATACAATATATTTTATTATATTGTACTAGCCGTCCCCTGCCACACGTTGCTGTGGCCCAGTCTGTGTATATGTGTTTTGTGTGTGTGTATGTTTGTGTATATATGTGGTTTACGCATGCGTTGTAATGTAATTTTTGTTTTTTGGCTTTTTAAAGTCCCTTCCGCTGTGTTTTTATGAGTGATGGTCACTCGTTGGCCTGATAGGTGTATTGTGTCCAAATTTGGTGTCAATTCGTCCAGTGGTTTTTGAGTTATGTTAATCCCACAAACGAACATTGCATTTTTATTTATATAGATTACTAGCCATTCCCTGCCACGCGTTGCTGTGGCCCACATGGGGGTTCTGTGTGGGAGGTTTGGCTAATCATAGATCCCCAAGAGCCATCCAATCCAACCCATTCTGCCATTCAGCCTATGAGTCATGGAATCCTAGAGTTGTAAGAGACCCCAAGGGCCATCAAATCCAGCCCATTCTGCTGTTTGGGAAAGACACAATCAAAGCCCTCCTGACAGATGGCCATTCGCCTTTGCTTAAAACCTCCAGAGAAGGAGACTCCAAGACATCATCGTTACTATCTATTATTGTTGTAGTTGTTACAATAATGTAATAATAATAACAACAATAACAACAACAACAACAACAATAATAATAATAATAGCAGAAGAGGATTGGACTAGATGGCCCTGGGTGTCACTTCCAATTCTATGATTCTATAATAATATAAGCATTATTATTATCATAATCATCATCATTATTATTACTAGCCGTCCCCTGCCACGCGTTGCTGTGGCCCACATGGGGGTTATGTGTGGGAGGTTTGGCCCCATTCTATTGTTGGTGGGATTCAGAATGCTCTGTGATTGTATGTGAACTATAAATCCCAGCAACTACAACTCCCAAATGTCAAGATTCTATTTCCCCCAAACTCCACCAGTGTTCACATTTGGGCATATTGTGTATTCTTGCAGAGTTTGGTCCAGATCCATCATTGTTTGAGTCCACAGTCATCTTTGGATGTAGGAGAACTACAACTCCAAAACCAAAGGACACTGCCCACTAAACCCTTCCAGTATTTTCTGTTGGTCATCAGAGAGCTGTGTGCCAAGTTTGGTTCAATTCCATCTTTGGTGGGGTTCAGAGTGTTCTTTGATTGTAGGTGAACTATAAATCCCAGCAACTACAACTCCCGAGTTACAAAAGCAATTTTTGTGAGTGAAAGACATACATTGGGTTGTTAGGTGTCATGTGTCCAAATTTGGTGTCAATTCCCCCAGTAGTTTTTGAGTTCTGTGAATATCACAAACGAACATTACATTTTTATTTATATAGATTATTATATTATAAGCACAGTGAAGGAGAAAAGATGGAACTGCCTTCCTGACCCCTCTCTTCACTCTGATCTCAGAGCAGCGGTTGGTTCTGGGGGGGGGG